TTAGGGTTTAGGGGTTTAGGGTTCGCCAGCGCAGCGTGGCGCCCAAGACAACTCTCGATTAATGGGGCTGCCCTAACCCAATCTCGTCAAATCCGATTTTGTCGATAAAATCGATTCGCGAAAGCCCAATGTTCACGAAAGCCCAAGCCTCCCCACGAAAGCCCCAATCCCAACGAAAGCTTGAACTGAAAGCTTGAACTCCACGAAGCCCTTGGGGTGATATAGGGGCCCTAAACCCTAAATCCTAAACCCTAAACCCTTAAAGGGACCCTTGGGGTGATATCGGGGCTTTCTGAGACTCTATAAGGGTCATATGGGGTATTCCCTTCTATTGTCCCTCAATTTAGGGTTTTGCAGGGTTTGCTAGGATTCTGAAGGATTTCGGGGGTTTAGGTTCCGGGTTTTTGGGCTTGGTGCGGTTTGGTTTTGGGGTTCGGGATTTTGGGAGGGTTCTTCCCCCAAGCCTAAACGGCCCCTAAACCTTAAACGCTAAACCCCGAACCCCAAAGCCGCCTAAGCCCCTACACCCTAAACCCTACACTCTAAACCCTAAACCCCTAAACGTCTTAACCCCTAAACCCTAAACCCTGAACCCTAAACCCAAAACCCTACACCCTAAACCCTACACCCCTAAACACAAACTGGGGAGCTCACTTGAACACTCACGGCGTCACGGAGTTCTTTGGGTTCGAACTATGGGTTAGGATCTTCGTCTCTCTCTTGCGTGGTTCTCTGAATTAGGATCCCCTTTAGGGTCCCTTCTTACAAGGGTGCCGTACTATTTTGGACCCACAAAGGGACCCTAATTGGTCGTTACAACGACAAGGCGGGGTACTCTAGAACGGTACAGTATCCCAAAAATGATCGCAATCTGCCCTAAACCCCAAACCCTAAATTATCTTAAACCCTAAACTCGCACAGCTCCCACTTCTTTACATTCTGCATCGGACATGAACCCAGGTGTTGTGCTATTGGCTCACCCTCTTCGTCGTCGAAGTCTTAAAAGTCCACGAGGAGTCGGCAGCATCCGATCATGAGGGTTCTAAGCACTTCCTGTGTCCAAGCTTTCTCCTGAGCCCGAGCTAACGCAGCAGCCTTCATACTTGGAATAGGGTTTTTGGGCCCTTTTTTGTCTAATTATAATAAGGGGCCCTCCAAAATAATCTATCTATATTATTATCTATATTATTAAGGCCTCTATATTAGGAGATCAACATCCGAACTTCGCTTCTTGTGCTTCCACAAACTCTTCAAGTCAAGCCCAACCTAGACCCTCAATCCGACACCCCGCAACCGCCTTAATTATTACCTCTGCTATGTTAGGGGTTCCTTATGATAGTTATAGTATAATATATCTCAAAACCTTGTTCTAATTATTAAGGCCCCTGAGCCCTACAGTCCCGAAGCCCGAAGCCAAGGGGCTTTGAGCTTGGAGTAGGAGCCAGAAGCCTGCCACATCAGAACCTCCAAACTCCGGACCCAAAGCCTCCGGACTCCGAAACCCTAAACCCTAAACCCTAAACCCTAAACTTCGAGCTTTAGATTTGGGGCTTCGGGTTCTAAGGCTCTGAGGTGTGGGGCTTTTTGGCTTAAGGCTTGTTAGAGCTTCTGGCCTAATTAGGGTTTAGGGCCTCCAGCCCTAAACCTTTACCTGGTGCCCAACAGTATGTAGAATTCATAGCCTTTGATAGGTGCTGTGCCCTTTATTTTCCCTACTTTAAGGGGTTCTATAACCCTAAACCCCAAACTAGGCTCGCTCAGACGAAAAGGCCACTACACTTTAAAAGTTACCCTACTTCTAACCCCGGCTATAACTACCCATGAACCTCCAAGTAGGAAGATCTTCTTCAACTCTGCGTGAGGTTATAAGTACCCTAATTGGGGTTATAAGTAATTATAACTATATTTACCGTATTTATAACCCTAGCTACTAAGTCCCATGAACCTCGAAGTAATTCCAAACCCTAAGCCCTAAACCCTAAACCCTAAACCCTAAACCCTAAACCCTAATCCCTAAACCCTAAACCCTAAACCCTAATAGCTACCCATGATCCTCCAAGTAAGCTTCTAAAGCCCCCGGAAGGAGCGCCAGCAAACCGCCCCCGACGAGGCCCTGGGCAGCGTGGAGCCGCAGCTGCAACAACGGTAACCCACCTGTTGCGGATTGCAAGAAAACCCCCGAATCCCCTCAACTCTGGCCTCATCTGGCCTCTAGACCCTAAAACCTAAAGTCTAAACTCTAGTCTCCATACCCTAAGCCGTAAACCCTAAACCCTTCTAGTCTCTAGACCCTAAACCCTAAACCCTTCTAGTCTCTCAACCCCTAAAGCCCCGAACTCACAAGCCTCTAAGCTCCAAACCGCAAACCCCCTAAACGCCTAACTCCCCAACTGCCTAAACGCTATTGGGTGTTTGGCTTTCGGTGTTTTGTCCATGCGAACAGTCTGCACGGGTTTTTGAGAGAGGGAGAGGTCGCAAGGAAGTACGGTGCAAAACCTTTAGCACGGTGCCGGCCTCCCACAGGAGTTGCGATATTTCCTACTACCACTACACCACAAGCCCAGCATTCAGGGCGGATGTTGCTTCAATCCCTTTCGTGGAGCATCTGTGAAAGCATATGCTGAGGCACCCAAACCTACGCCTTTGCGCTTTTTCTACATGTTTTGAGCGAAGCTTCATCAGAAACACTGCCTAAGCCCTTCGCCCTCAGCACAAGGAACGGAAGAAGCAGCATATTAAACTCCAAGCCTCAGCAATGCCATTGCCTATTACGGGTCCTGGAAAGAGCATTCTAAGTATATGGGCATCCGTTTAAGCCCAAAGCCTTGGAACCCTATAAAGTTAAGACAAGACTGACAACCCTGACAAGCTCTGTGATGTTATGACTGTTATGAGTTTAAGAAGCACAATACACATCCCAGCAAGGAGTTGCGAAATGGAATGCCCATCAGCATCTATTGCACCGACACGTCCATCTCGGAAGGCCCCGAGGGGTTGCACACGGTTTTACGAAGGTATTGTCGGTTCTTTGCTTTTCAAAGGGATGTAAAATGGTTTCATTGGAGTTGATAGTCTTTTTTTGGGGGTGTGCATGGATTTTTGTCACGGCTGACTCAAAGACTCAGGAGACTTGAAAAGCAGGTTATGGGTTATAACCAGTTATAACTAGATAGAGCTGCACGTACCCTAAAGGGAATGTTCCGAAGTACAGTGCTCCTTGTACCGTAACCAACGTACTAACCAAGCACCCTTATTCTTCCTGCAGGCCTTTCGTCAATCTGCACAAAGCCCGGAAAATCCTCGAGGCCCTTATTTAGGAAGGGGTTCCTGGTGCTGCTGCCGCAATCCGTAAGGTTGCTACGATCCCAAGGTTTTCAGGTTTAGAAATTCCTGTTTAGGTTTTTGGGTTTGGGTTTGGGGTTTAGGGTTTCGGGCGTAGGGTTTTAGCATCCCGCATAGCAACCCCTAAACCCTAAACCCTAAACCCTAAACCCTAAACCCTAAACCCTAAACCCTAAACCCTAAACCCTAAGCCCTAAACCCCAATCCCGAAAAGCCCTATAATCCCTAAAAGCCCTATAAGCCTTATAAGCCCTTATAAGCCCTTAGAAGCCCTCAGAAGCCCTTAGAAGGCCTTAAGAGAAATCACAGAAAAGCGAAGACAGCGCAGCGCAGCGGAGGCTGCCCTAAACACTGAACCCAAAGGCCCTAAACCCTAAACCCTAAACCCTAAACCCTAAAAACCCTAAACCCTAAACCCTAAAAACCCTAAACCCTAAACCCTAAAACCCTAAAACCCCAAACCCTAGGCTCCTTGGAGTTGGCTTTGTTGGCTGACCTGGAGCCCGCCTTCCAGGCCGAGGGCCTCTTAGGGTTTAGGGTTTAGGGTTTAGGGTTTAGGGTTTAGGGTTTAGGGTTTAGGGTTTAGGGTTTAGGGTTTAGGGTTTAGGGTTTAATGAGGGGTGTAGGGTTTTTTGGGGTTTAATTCGGGGTTTAGGGTGTAGGGTTTAGGGTTTAGGGTTTGGGGGGAGGAAAGGGAGTTTAGGGTTCAAGGTTTTTTTTGTTGAGGGGGGCCGGAGGTGCGGGGAGTTTAGGATTTAGGGCCTGGCTTGTTCCCGAAAGCGGTCATGGTCACCTTAATAAGTAGCATAAATTTGGGGGTACAGCCTGAACCCTAAACCCTAAACCCTAAACCCTAAACCATGAATACGGTCAGGAATCTCACACTGCCATTAAAGTTGTTGGGGTAGTTTTGGGCCTTTAGGGTTTGGTCCTCGTTTGTTGGGGGTTAAAAGCAGAGGGGTCCTGATAGCTTTTGCGAATGAAGGTTTGTCTACAAAGGGTGCTGTAGGGTTGTGGGAGGTTTAGACCGGGTGTTGAATTCTGAATGGGGTTCTAAGGGCCTTAAGGTTAAAGAGGGTTTCAGGTCTTACTAAAGGCGGCGTCGTTTGGAGTTAAGGCAAGGCAAGAGAGGTTTAGGCATTTAGGGTCTAGGGTATTTATATAGGCATCAAAGCTTTCAGCTGTTGCGGTCTAGGAGGCTGCAGCGGGTTGCATGAAGGGAGCATGGAGCCACGGTTTAGGCTTTGGGCTTTGGCGAGCCTATTGCGTTCCAGGCCATCGATGGATCGGTGTCGGAAGCGAAGCTGGAGGCCATGTGTTCCGAGTTTTGAAGGAGTCAGGGGGTACATGGTGCAGGGTTTGGGGTCATCAGGGCTCAGGGAGTTAGTGGTTTGGGTATTTTGAGATTGCGAGTTCAAGGTGTATGGAATACGGCTATAGGCTATAGTGGGTTTCAGGTTCAGAGGACACTTCGTTCACAAATCCTTGTTGAACCGTTAACTATGGTCAACTTCTGACGTTTGCGGCCTCAAGATATACTAGTGAGGGGTCTACTGGTTGCATTTCTGCTTGTTAACGCCCCCCCCCTTCTCCCCCCCGCCCCCGGCCACAACACTAGTCAGTTGCTGTTTGTTGTCAGTGCGATTGAAGCCCTGGCCTTATACCCTCCCAGCCCCTAAACCCCCTAAACCCTAAA